CTTAGGATCTGTGATCTCTTACCGTTTGTGCTAGGAGGTCAAACAAAAAACTGGCCACTACCGTGATTCTAATTAACATTCTAAAAAAAAAAGACATTAACAGCTTTGCAAAGTAATTGCTGTTGGTGTGTCCAAATGGGAATTTTGACTTTTTTCGTTAATTCAGTATAAATTAAGAAAATTGGCCAACGCACGGGCTGCCTGTGCGAAGATGCGTTTTCTGCATGGTTCCCCGCAGTTTTTGTTGCAATCGACACCGGTTTTTTTGGCAAACGCTTCTAACTAAACAAATTAAGACTGACCGCCAGAACTGTCAGAAAACATCCCTTTAAAATTCCAGCTTTCTAGCTTCCCTGGCACCTGAGTTAGCAACTTACTGGAACAAAATTTTCACGGGACCGTGTATATTTACCAAGAATACCTGAGAGCTGAGTTCGGGCTGAATGAAACTTAGGTGGACGGGGCATATCCTCTTAAAATTGCATTCCTTTAGCTTCTCAAGTACTTGAGTTATCAGTTTAGACGAAAAAAATTTTGGCGGGCCCGTATGTGGGTACCACCCTTACCCGGGGCTGGGTTTGAGCCCGCTAACGCCCGCTTGGGCGGGGAACATTACCCCAAGATTTCACCCTTCTAGCTTCTTAGATTTCGAGTTATGAATTGACCCCAAAAAAACTTTGGTGGGCCCGTACGCGGGTACCGCACGGGTTTTGGCGCCAATTTTAGGATTTGGGCCGGCACGTGCATGTAGATTAAGTTCCCGAAATTTCGGCCCCGCAGCTTTTATAGGACCTGAGATGAAAGTGCGTGACAGACGCACACACAGGCACACAGACAACCTCTCGTCAATATGCGTTTTTCGCATTGCATTGCTGCAAAAAACGCATAAAAAAGGCGAGAGCTGAAAACCCGCACTGGGCGTATAAAAGTTTCAGTTATTTTCTTCGTGAAATGTCTGGTAAATAAAGTATTTATAGTTAAACACAAGCTAGCAGTTTAGGTGTTTTAGCTTTTTGGGGTCGGGAAAAAAGTGGAAGGGGAGGGGGCCGGGAGGTGATATCTTGATTAAATACCTGTCATAAATTAACTGATTCCTACATTTTTATAGCAAACGGCACACGAGTGGATGTAAAAGGAACGGCAGAATCACCAAGTGAAGACATGCGAGGTCCTGGAGGATTGATTAGGGTTTACGGCGATTCCACAAATGGAGAAACATCTTCTAGCAGCTTTATACCTTATTGTGATATGTCTCGCGCCCAGCTTTCATTTCATGGACATAAAGATTCGGTGAAATTTTTCTTGGCTGTTCCTGGTTAGTCTTTTAAGTTTTATGAGGATTATAAGCGTTTTTTTAAAAAATATTTTTCATTTAGAATCCTTTCTTTCATTTTTTATTAGTTTTCTCCGAAAATCTTTCTTATCATGCAGCCTTCGTCGAATTATTCAGGTTCATAGTGGA